CAACCGTGGAAATGATTCTATATCCAACACAAAAACATTAGAAATAAATAAAGAGATGTGAATGGTCGAAGGTGAAAGCTCTCTTCTTCTAAACACAGACAATAAATAAAAACATTCATTGTTCACCTGATTCTTTCAAATCATCAGGAGTTAGTAAAGCTAATTCAGCCAATACATTCAGAGCTTCTAATTCACCTGCGCAGGAAGAGACGAGCAATAAGTTTCAGATTCTGATATTATTGAATTCTCAAAAGATGAAGCTTCTTAGGTTAATAAGACAATGTGGTATAGATAAGTAATCAATATCACTATGATAAAACTAAAACAGGATTACTATTGAACCTATGCGTTTTACCTCCAGATTTGCTTCCCTCATTGGCATTGGATGCTTCTACGCGGTTATCAGAAGCATCTCCTACTGCTTCTTCAAATCTCACATTTTCCTCCTGGGGAACCTCCACGGTATCAACCTCTTCCCTATCCATCAACAAGGCACCATCTCTATCAGGCGTGCCCTTTATATGCCTTCTATCTCGGCTAATTCTCACCACATTCCTAGCCATGGTACTAGCACGGTGCTTGGATTGAGCTTCCTTTTCTTGTGACTGGCAAGAAAAAAAAAATATTAGAATTTTGTGTGTTTAATGATTCATGACAATATATAAGTTGTTAGAGCTAGAAAGATACCATTTTTCCATTTGGAGTGTTGCCATTGACTTCTGGTTTTCTATATGGTGACTCCCCTCCCCTTCTCGCTGCATTTGCCAATGCCAACGCTAATGTATCGTCGTCCTCGGCCTCAAGTTGCTTCTTGGCTCTTTTATTCGGTGGCATGGAACTTTCTCTATCATCCCTCTCGTCATCACTTGGTACAAGAAACCGAGGTGTACGTTTACCAGTGGCACGTCGCTCTAATCCTGCATAACGCAAAGTAACAAATCACACATTCTTGAACATATTCGTTTACTATGTATCTGTTGCGTTGCTACAGAACTCCACAAGACAGATCTTTACCCTATAAAAGGCAGCATGTTGTTCATTAACTCAAAAATTTAAACCGCATAGTAATCATTTGTTTAGCATCTTTTAAGCCGTAAGAATTTAAAAAACTTAGTTGCGGAAACTAGATTTTACCATAAGTTTGTGTCAGCTTCAGAAATGAGAGGCAGCCTTCCGTTGATGCAAGTGAATGCGGTGGAATCATTTCTCGAACATCACTAGACGGAAGTTTAGCAAGTTTGCGCTTCTGATATTTAATCGGTACTACAGAAGCACCATGGCCTTCTTCTTCTTCTTCTTCTTCTTCTTCTTCTTCTTCTTCTTCACTTTCGCTCTCATCCTACAAAACATTACCATAAGCATGTAACAACTGGACCACACAACTTTACTAAACAAACAATCTGCCACACACATCTTCCCTGTTTCCAAGTAAATATAAAACTAAAATTTCACAACTTAAGTTTACGATTCAGCTTTCCACTTGAATTTTCAAGCCTAAAGTCATTTAACATGAACTTTTAAGGTATTAGTAAGATAAATGACTCACTATAACGCTGTAATGATCAGTCATCATTGCAATGAGGCCAATGACAGACGCAGTTCCCTCAGGCAGGGATAAATATGCCTGAAAAGAAAAGACAAAAATCAAATAAATGAAAATGTATTCATGTTAGACATAATAAGTAAGAAAGTCTTGTATTCATACCCGATTCATATTAAAAAGGGCTTCCACCATGTCTACAGACCGGTTATTCCTCACTGCAGCAGCTACCTAAAGCAGTTTCCAGGGAAGAACTAGTATTAATAACTTTAAAGTCATACAAAATTTTTGAGACAGTAAGTCTTATAAAAAACATAATGTGCAACACAGTTCACCTTTTTCCAGTCTCTCCCATGCTTCCTATAAGCGTCATAGAAACGCTCAAGCTCTCCTTTCGTCCACTGAGGTCCCAACTTATCACTCAATCTCTTCATCTGTCATAAGTACAACACATAGTCAACAAAAGAACACACTAAGACAAGTGTTGGAAAAATCTCTCAAATAATCTCACTAAAGATTTTGAATCTCTTTGACTCCTAATAACATCAAAGTGACTAGATTTTGTTTTTTAAAAAAAAAAAGCTCACTCTTTGCTTGGTTTTGCTAGAGTTCCTTAACTCTTTCTCAGGAGAAGCTTCTTTGGTGGAACGTTTGTACACACTCTTGGACGTCCTACTAGGCGCCATACTCTGATCTATCTGCCCAGTCATTGCAACCAAAACTTCAAAATTGTTAGAAACTAAAGGAAACTGAACCGATCTTTGCTCTCTTCAACATAAAAGATAACAACTTTACTTACTAATTAGCAGCAACAATGAAATCAAACCAAAAAAAAAAACCCAAATCCGAGAATTCAAAAAAATCAAACTTTGACGAAAACCCAGATTCAGAAAGGCAAACTGAACTGATCTTTGTTCTCTTCAACATAAAAGATAACAACTTTCCTTACTAATTAGCAGCAACGATAAAATCAAACAAAAAAACCCAAATCCAAGAATTAAAAAAAAAATCAAACTTTGACGAAAACCCAGATTCAGATTCAAATACTCGTTACAAAATATAAAAAAAAAAATCACAAATTTCGAATCCAAGCTTTCGAGAATTCGCGTTTTGAAAATTAATCAAAAACTTCAAAAATCAAAGGAGAGACTAATCTACAAATCGAAATCCAATTTCGCCACAAGGTGAAGTTCCAAAGAGATCCCAAATTAGCTCTGCTAAAACCCTAATTTCATAACAGATCCACTCACCAGAGCTCAAAAAGAGAATCGGCGTTGAAATCTCACAGAGAAAGAACTCTCGGAGGAGAGAGAGAAGCTCGAGAAGCTTCTTCGAGAGAGATCGGTGACGAAAGAGATGATCCTAGAGAGAGAGAGAGAGAGAAGAAGGATTGTTTAGAGAGAGATGGAAGAGAGAGGCGTTGCCGCGAAACTTGAAATAAAAAGGACGACTTTAGAGACTTGATGATACTTGAGAGAGCCAATAGGCTTTTTTTTTTGTTTATTTATCTAAAGGCCTGTGATCTTAAACGACCACGTGGCGGCGCAGTTTATGGACCGTTGGATGTTTTTTGAGTTTCGTTTAGGGTTTATAGTAACGGCAACATGGGATAGTATTTGAAAAAATACTCTGATTTTTTTGGTAATTAAAATATGTACAAAATAGATAAAATGACGCTGGAAAATGGAATTTTTATTATTCAACTCTCATAGGGATGGCAATCAAAGACCTGGACCGCGGGCCTGACCCGTAAAGGCTTGCTGCGGAGCGGGATTGGGCCTTCATTTGATAAGCCCGCAAAATTGCGGGCCTCGCGGGACATGCTCAAAATGGGATGGGCCGAATGCGGGACGGGCTCAAAACGGGACGGGCCGAATGCGGGACAGGTTAACCCGCGGGATTTTGAAGACCCGCAACCATAAGTCCTCATTTATGTTTGGTTTTGTTTTCAGTACTATAAATTGCCTTATTACTGTGTGAAATTTTTTTGTTTAAGTTGATGAATTTTGTTTTCAGTATTGTCAAGTGGTGTTTTAAAAAAAAAAAAAATTTGTTACAATGATGTTTTTAAAGAGTTACTCTTGTTGACGAGCTACTGTTTGTTCTTTTAACGGCTCGAAATGAAAGTTTGGGTTACTGCAGAATTTTGTCTTTACACTCTAAGTTCAACAACTTGGTTGAAAGAGAAGAAGAAACATTAGTATTAAATTATTTTTGCTTTGAAGAGACGTTGCTTTACAAAGAATCAAACAAGGAATATTCTTGAAAGAGTTAAATTTTACTGTCCAAATGGCTCTCACTTACTTCAAGACCACTAAACCAGCGAGTGATCACATTGGATGTTGTTGCGATCAATGTTTTTCAGCTCTCTTCAACTTCTTTACACAACTCTTCTACTTTAATATTCATGAAGGAAGCTGAAGGAGACGTCCCGCGGGACGGCCCGCGAAGGCTTATAAATTATGCGGTACGGGATTGGGTAGCCATTTGGAAGACCGTAGTCCGCGCGGGACAGGCCCGCCGTGACCCGCTCGACGATGAGCCCGCTGCGGTACGGGACGGAACGGGACGGGAAAGCCCAATTGCCATCTCTAAACTCGCATACTTTTATTTGTAATATATTACCTTATGTAAATAATGAATCTAACTACAAATAATTTTGAATTTCGAACTTTTAGCGGAAAATAAAAAGAGAAATATTTAAGACTTTTTTTTTGATAATCTTATATATTAAAATAGAAGTCATGACTTGACTTCATGTGTGATTTTTAAAAAATGGACTATTACTAGAAAGTTATGTTACATTAACTCTTTAATAATCTTATCATTATTATATCTTATGAAAAATCATATCTATGATAACAAAGATACGCTTAACAATTTGGTTTTGGTAAATTACTTCACACCTTCCAATTTAGTCACGCAAAATATGTCAATAGGTATAAGTTTAGGAATCTTCTATTATTTATAAGGAAATATGTCAATAATAGTTAAATGCATCCACAATATATTAACAAAAATCACAGATTCGTAATATGAAATATTTTTGTACCCTAACAAAATTTACACACGATATATAATAGATAAATTTATTTCGATGTAAATTTTAAAAATTATATTGTTTTAAAAAAATAAACTGTTTAAAAAATTATTTTTAATAAATTTTTTTATAATATTAATTTATGAAGATATAAGTTTAGTTTTTAGCAAAAATATCTTTGAAGTTTATATTATCTTTGCAAATTAAAGTATACTAATATTTAATCAAGTTCTATTTATATTAATTTATCTAAAAATGAAATACCAATCTAACAAACAATAAAATATAGAAGAAGAAACAAACACATGTTTGAAAAACATGTATAATATAAAAAATTTGAAACAATCTATTTGATTAAAACACGTATTACATAATATTATTATGTTTGAAAAACATTTACTATACATATCGTAAATATGTGATTACTATAATATATACCAATTTACAAGTGAAAGCAAAATGTTTATATAACTAAGTATAAACGAAAACAAACACCCGCGCGGTTGCGCAGGTTAAAATCTAGTTGAAATATTTAAAACTTAGATTGATGGCCAACGGTTTTAACTAAAATACTATTCATTTATTTAATTTAACTAGAATCTAAGGAAGATTTATTGGTCAAGTAAAGAAACATATACAAGATATATTTTTTTGAACAAAATATACTAAGAGCATCATTCTCTTTTTAAAACGTTTTCTACCATTTAAATATTTTGAAACATAATTAAAAAAAAAAGAGTTTTTCATGAGACTAACAAAAACATAAAAAACTGATAAACCATGTGTCACTTTTTCAATGGTCTAAATTTTAAATCTTAATTACTAATATAAAAAAAGCTATGTAAAAGAGGAGAATACATATTGTATTAACTATCAACAGTGTCACTTTAATGGTCTATCTGTTTTTCCTATCAATTTCTAATCTAATAGCAAAATAAGTTTCCAAAAAAAAAGAACTCTCATCCATGGTATATTATATTTGTTAGAATCATCTCAAATGATTTCTAGATCCTATTCAAAAAATATAAATGATATATTTAACAAATTAATTAAGAATTTTTAAAACTTAATAACTATGTTTGGTGTTTCTCTTAAAATTATAAGTTTCTAATATAGTAATATTTCTAAAACTTTAGAGTTTTTATCATAATTTATTTATATATTTCTTAAAAATTCTTTATATTTTCTTATTTTTTATATATTTAGAGTTCTAATCGATCACTACACTTATGCTATTAGACAATAAAGAACGAATAACTGATGAGGTGGCTATAGAAACAGCTTGGTAAGGAAGAATAATCCACACCCAGATTCTAGGAATCTTGATAATAGAATTCAAGTAGATTTTGTTCAAACAGTTAAAATATAAGGGTCTATACGTAAATTATGTTTATTTGCGATCTTTCTAATGAAAATATTTATCCATTTTTGTTGGAAACCCTCCTAACCAAGGAGAAGGTGTTGAAACTTTTAAGTAGGGCCTTGAGGAAAGTAAGCTTAGATGCGTTAGTGAAAAAATTTACCATACCATTTTCTAACTATCCCATCTTTTTCTACCTTTTTCTCTTTTCCCTTCTTATCTTTTCTTTCTTTATTATTATTGTTTTCTATTTTCAAATAGCACGAGACCCACCAATATTCTTTCCTTTTCATTTTTTTTCCGAGTCGATCCTACATTATTTTGTGTACAGATCAGATTATTTTTAAAAAAAATTTGGGGTGGGTCCTAAATTTTATTTTCCAAATCCTTTTTTAAGTTTTTTCTTTTTGAAATCGTTAAATAATTAATATAGCTAAAATTTATGCAAAAATAAAAACAAATTCTGTTAATCTTGAAATAATATTTTCTTAAACAATAAAATAACAAAATAAATAATTAAATAATATTTTACTTAACGAATAATTTTCAAAAATAAATTTAATAAAATATTTTTTTTTGCTAAACAAAATAAAAAATAAACACGAGGACTTCCAGGGAAATAATAATAATAATAATAATAATAATAATAAAATATTTCTAAAACTAATTTTCTTTAACTAAAATTTTATTTTCTTTTATTTATATAGAAGAAATAAAATTTTAAAAATGATATATTTTATATTTAATCAACAATTACTTTACAAAATCTAATAAAATATGTATTTAATATTATTTACAAATTAAATTTAAAATTAATTTAATCCAAAAATAATTTCGAAATTAAATTAATGAAAATTTATATAAATTTTATTTACATAAATATTTCATAATTATAAGTTTAATAAACATATATTTCAATAATATTTCAATGGAAAATTAATTTTTTTAATTTTCTTAATTTAATTTTTATATATTTTAGCCTTCAAATTGAAAAATAATATTTTTCATATTTTCACTATTTCGCTTTGTAATTAAATTAAAAATATATATAAATATAAATAATATTATCTTTGTTTTATAAATAGTAATTTTGACATTTTTGCTTGTTATGTAAATAGTATCATTTAAGATTCTAATTCAAATTATATATATTTTAAATTTAATATTATTTTAAAAATACTTTAAGTTTATAAATAATTTATATGTCCTAAAATATTTTGATTAACATATATGTATTTATTAAGAGCATGAATGCATTAAGATCATTTTTAATCTTTGTAAAAATACCAAAATTATATTCTTCTTTAAACAAAAGGATATACATTATTTTATATAAATTATAAGATTTTATATTATATTTTTATTTGTCTAAATGTGTATGTACTATCTTGTATTACCTTGGACTACTATCTATTGTATATATTTCTAAAAAAATTATATTTTGGGTTTATTATATATTTTCATCAGATATAACTTATATATTTTGTATTATCTTCCTCCGGTATATGAAACAAAGAAAAGATCCACTCAAAAACAAAGGTTTCCATCAGTCGAAGAATCTCACGGATGAAGACGAGGACGTGGCATGATCAAGAGAAGGAAGGGCAAAGGTTTGTATGAGTATTTTGAATGAGGAACTACTCTTGCCACCACCGAGTAGTATGAGACTCTTGTGCGTTGAAGTAGTATGTAACCTTGAACTACTAAGAACTACTTTGAATTACCTTAAACTACCTTAAAATACTTTAGAACTACTATGTATTAGACATATTTTTAAGAATCTTAATTTTCGTCTTAATAATTATTTTAAAAAGATGTATCTCATATAACGCGATTATACATCCATATATGCGTTTATTTGCCAAATTAGACATAAAAAAACTTTTAATTTCTCAAGTTGACAGAAATTTCTCATTGTCATAGAAAACATTATTATACTTCTATACTAATATCTATATGGGAATGCTATAATGAGATGAACAAGAAAAAAATACATATTTTCTAA